GTGTTTTGAACTCAGCATCTGTTAGGTTGCTTACCTCCATTTCACTTAGTTCTTTTCCTGGAGTTTTGTTCTGTTCATTCATTCGAGACCTGTTTCTTTGTCTCCTCATTTTGGCTGCCTCCCTGGGTTTGTTTCTATGTATTACTTAAGGAGAGGTATAGGGCTAGCTGAGACCAGATGCTACTTGTTTGAAAGAATTCAGGAAAACCTGAAGCAGTATCCAAGACAGGTCAATCCTTTCGTAAAGCAACTGGCAACAGTTTGAGTGGGCCTGAAAGTTGGATGGGGCAAGGCCTCAGGGAATCACCAGTGTGGGGCAAACAGCGTGAGCCAGGTTGCTGAAGTCCCAGATATGGCGGCTGTCTGCCACCCCAGGGAAGGGCTCACCAAAGGAACAAAGGCCTCTGACAGCATGTTTGTCCAGGAGAAATCCCCCTCTCCAGCCCTCGCTCCAATGCCAAACAGCTCAGTTCTTCCCTGTATGTCTCTGGCACCCCTCAAGCTGCTTCCCCTCTGAGCTTAAAGAGAGCAAGTCCAAGTAAGTCCATGCGTGAGCCCTTTAAGAGGAGCTGCCTGGGGGCTCCAGCCACCTCAGCCTTCCTGAGCCTCAGTTCCCACCAGTTTCTCCAACCCGAAGTTATAGGGACTTCTCTTCCTGGCACTGGTACCCTGAGCAGGGCACCTGGTGTGGAACAGGGACCCCTTAGTCCTCAGGGAGGACCTTCCCAGTCTAGGTGTCCTCCTAATTTTTATCTGCCACACGTGGGTGTGGGACCAGCCGTTGTGCCTCTGCCCCTCCTACCAGTCTCGATGCAGCTTCTTCTTTAGTTGTGTAGTTGTAGGACTTCCATTCAGCTTGATTTCTGGCAGTTTTGAATGATGGTTATTCTGTAGTTTAGTTGTAACTTTGATGTAGTTGTGGGAGGACGTGATACTGCATTTACCTCCCCTGCCATTTTGACCGGAAGTTGTTCTATTTTTTTTCAATGTCTTGTAGTTTTTTGAGAATGTCTTTTACTTCATTAATTAAGTTTATTCCTATATATCTTATTCTTTTGTTGTTGCAATGGTAAATGAATTTTTTTTTTTTTTAGTTTCCCTTTCAGAGTGTTCATTATTGGTGTATAAGAATGCCATCAATTTCTAGATGTTAATTTTGTATCCAGCTACACTGATGAATTCATTTATTAAATCTAGTGGATTTTTTATGGAGTCATTAGGGTTTTCTATGTACAGTATCATGTCATCTGCAAATAATGACAATTTCACTTCTTCCTTTCTGATTTGGATGCCTTTTATTTTTTCTTCCTATCTAATCGCTGTACCTAAGACTTCCAGTACTATGTTGAATAAGAGTGATGAAAGTGGACATTCCTATATTGTTCCTGTTCTTAAGGGAAAACTTCCCTAACTTGGTGAAGGAAACAGACATACAAGTCCAGGAAGCACAGAGTCCTAATTGAGTACAATCCTGGCTGTAGGTTTTTCAAATATGGACTTTATTATGTTGAGACAGATCCCTCAATTCCCACTTTTCTGAGCATTTTTTTTTTTTCAGAAATGGGTGCTAGATTTTGTCAAATGCTTTTTCCAGCATCTATTGAAATGATCACATGATAACACAATTACTGTTAGCTCAACCACAATTTACAAAATCCTGTGTTTTCACCAGCCAAATGTGAAAGACATTCTCTAACCCTTTCTGTACACAGGACATCAGAGCCTCAAGTCATGGACTGAAGTCCTGACCCACTGACCCTGTGAGGTTAAGAACCTGTGATTTTTGTGGGAAATCTGAGTCCCAAATCCATGGGAACCAGAATCATAGGTGTCAAAGTGATCTCTGGAAACTGTAAAGTCAAACAGCAACAAAGTCTGTCTTTTTAAGTGATTGTACCTTAAATTTGTTCAAAGAACTCCTTTATACTGGGACTCCTAGACTACAGATATCTTCATTTTAGCATTGAAAATACCTAAGTTAAAAGAGCCACTTAAAAGCACACTCTGGGGCAGGGGAAGGTCTGAGAAGACAATTCCAGATTCCTAAATTCTCACGACTTCATGAATTTATGACAGCCCCATCTGTTTCTCCACATCGCCTCTCTCAATGTTCAGTCTTAAAAAGGAAAAAGAGAAACTGACCGAGATATTTGATTAATGTAAAAATTACTTAGAAAAGCTATTGAAAAAGCAGTTATTAAATTTCCAGTGCATTTACTCTTCAGTCCTAAACAGTTATTGGTGGACATTAAACAGCTATTCTCTCTTCCCAAACAGAACAAGGTTTCAGACAAGAAGGAATATTTTTTTCAGTGTTACAGTCATTCTAACAATAAAGTTTCTAAAGCACCTGGGGAAACTGATGCCAAATAACACTAATTATGAGCTTGCAATGGTATGTTAAAGTATTTAATTTATCTATGTTCCACACTGAATAAGAGGATTTTAACGACTGTGTTCTTCACTATGCTTCCCAGTCACTGCCCAACTGCCAATTCTACTCTTCTTCATTCATTTTCATTTCTCTTTTGACTCCAATACTCTGTAACTTCACTCACACAGACCTCAACAACATCATCAGTGAAACAAAGCTAACATCACCTTTCATGCCAAGAGTCAGGAGTTAGCCAAGGTATTGTTAGGTGTCCCTTCTACTAAAATCTGTAGTCCTACTTCTGTTAATTGAATAATGTATCTTTCAAAGCTTTCTTTATTCTGTTTAGCACATATAAAGTTTATTCTATAGTTGTAATATTTTTGCTTCCTTCAGATTCCTTTACATCACCCACTATACACAATGCTTTTCTGTCTTGTGATGAATACTCAACTTTTAAGGTAATCAAGAAGCCAATTAGATGAACTAATAAAAATGACCACAAAAGAAGTAAAAAAAATAGAGGAGAATCACATGAGAAAAATAATTTTAAAAAAACAACTATAGTATTATGATAATAAATGTAGAAAGATGGCTGACAAAAACTTACTATGAAAGAGACCATTACAGACATATAAAAAAAAGGATCAAACAAATAACAAGTGAAAGAGGAAAGCACAGGAAAAATAAAAACAGTGTTTATGGACAGGGAAGTCAAGAAAGTATCTTCAATGAACACAATGTAAAAGGCACACTGGAAAAGATCGGCAGCAGATGATAACTTTGGAAAATCCAATTTACCTTGCCATTAAGTCAGAAATCCTTAGAGAAAATGAAATATAATTTAATTAACTCTGACCCTGGGCCCCAGGGCCAGGAGTGTCAGAGAAGGCTAGATGAAAGTTGGGCCCATTCAACAAGGGCCTTGGTTTTCAAAACAATGCACCTCATAGCAAACTCAGGGCCAGCTGCATTTTCATTACTCATGTATAAGTGTATGTAGCAATGCCTTGTTTTTATGTTGTTTATGGTTTCTATAGTATAGTAAAGTACTGCCAGTCTTTGCATGGCCATTCTAAAAGGTTCCTCAGTGCCCTGGCCAGTTTGGCTCAGCGGTTAGAGCATCCGCCTGCGGTCCGGAGAGACCTGGGTTCGGTTCCCGCTAAGGGCATGTACCTCGGTTGCAGTTTGTCCCCGGCCCTGGTTGGTCGTGCAGGTGGCAGCCACTAGATGTGTCCCTTTCACATCGATGTTTCCCTCTCTCTCTCCCTCCCACTCTGTCTGTACAAAAGATGGAAAAAATGTCCTCGGGTGAGGATTAAAAAAATAATAATAATAAAATAAAAAAATAAAAGGTTCCTCAGTCACCAGCAGAGGATGACTTAACAGTATCCACAGTCAACAGAGTGACCAACTTGTCCTGGTCTGCCAAGATTAGCACTGAAGGTCCTGCATACTTGGAAGCCTCTGCGTCCAGGGAAAACCAGGATTTTTGGTCACCCTACAGTCAAGACTATATCATATTCCCCATCTTTCCACTGAGCCAAGTCAGATATTGCCAGAAAGTTTTCTCTGAGAATCACCTTTCTCAGCAGAAAACACTGCTCTCTGCTATAGCTCTCCTTCAAAGGTGTTCCTCCTATTATTTTATCAGTGAATAAATTCAGCCTGTCCTGGCAAAAAATGTCCTTCATTCAGTATGTACCACACCCCTTAGCAAAAGAAAAAACATTTCCATTATTTCTATCAAGTTATAAGTCAATCAGTTCCACAACTGAGCTTGGTCTATACAGGGCTGTGTGGTTCTACCAAAATATTGAAAGTTATGAAACTCAAAACACAAAATTAAAAACAGGACTTTAAATATTTTATATTAAAATAGATGTTTAAGGATCATGCTTCAGTTTTTGGCTAACAAAAGACATCATACTTCAATTCTGGAAGGTTGGGAGAAGAAGCAAAGGCCAAAAATCTGAGATTTCTTTCATCAGGCATAAACTACAGCTTCCTACGCTTCTCGGTCCCTATTAGGCAAAAAATCTGCAAGCCTGAATTTTCACAAAAAACTTATCTAACAAAGTCACTTCTGTTCTCTCCTCTTTCCGGAAAACCGCAGTGACGGCTGGTTCCGCGCAGCGAGAAGGGGCCAGATGCAGAGGTAGCTCTTAGCTGGATTTCCAGGAGCATCGTGAACATCTCTTTGGATCTCCCTTCAGGACAGTGCGAGCGCGGGATGGGGAACACGTGGGGCAGTGGCTAGGAGTCTCACCCCAGGGATCAGTGAGCCAGCAGGAAGGGCAGCGCATTGAGGAGGGAGGAACTAGGGAAAGGCAAGGAAACCACTGCTCTGGAAGCTGGGGTAGGAGGGACAGATGCGGCGCAAGGCAGCCTCGGGACCTAGAGCCTGGGATAACGCCGCGATAGGGCGCAGTGTGCCCAAAGCCTCCAGGTGCATCGGCTTGACAGGAGCCTGTTTCCTCCCCGTAAAACGAGTTTTGTCGAGAGGATTAAATAACAAGGGGCATGCCTAGCGTCGGCACCGCTTTTACCCTGCTGCTGTTATTGCCACCATCGTGTTTAGGGGTCGGCCCTACCTCTCGAGACCAAGTTTGGGGTCCGGGCCTACCTGCCGTCCTTGGCCTCCGGGTTTTGGCCGTTGTCCGTGACGACGTGCGGCCGCAGGGGTCGGCGCTGCCGCAGCCCGGCAGCCTCGCTCATTTTAAAACTTCCACCACTGCCTTCCTCACCAGCACCAAAACGGAAGACCACAGGCACAGAAGGAAATCGCTCGCCAACCCCTTTCTTGCAGGCGCACGAAAGTGACGTTTCTGACCCCTCCTTTTCCAGAAACCGGGAGGGGCGGGGCGGGGAGGGGCGGGGCGCGGCGCTTGGAAGCCGGGCAGTGATTGTCTGGAACCAAAAGCTCGCGGCGCTGCACAGCTGCTGCCTGCTTTTGTTTCGTTACGTTTCGTTTCGTTTCTGAAGGTGAAGAACAATGTGTGCACGTCGCAGTGCTGGACCGGGGTGTTGATGGTTTGTGTTGGTAAAGAGGATGGTGCAGTTTATTAGATGAAGGAGACCTATGTTGCTATAGGTAGCATAAAAAAATAACTTTATTCCTGAAGGTGTGGCTCAGTGGTTGAGTGTGAACCCATGCACCAGGAGGTCCCCGGTTAGATTTTCCGGACACATGCCTAGGGTTGTGGGCCTGGTCCTTAGTAGGGGGTGTTCAGGGGGTGGCCATTGGATGTTCTCTCTCATCCATTTTTCTCTCTCCCTCTCACTTCTCTAAAATCAATAAAGGAAAAATAAATTTAAAAAATAAATAAATAAGTTAATATTCTTAGAGGTACAGCAGAGTGACCAGCTCCACCTAAAGTTATACTTTTTCCAAACAGATCCAGTGAAGGGGAATACAGGCTAGAAAATGTCCCTATGGTTAAGGCCAGATGTTAAATGTTAAAATCTTTTTGTGATGATTACAACTGTGGAGGGAAAGGACCCTATACTAAACCTAACAATCTCAGGGGAGGCCTGCCTGTGGACCTTACAAACTCAGAGACCTAAAATAACCACAAAGGATGGTTTAACTAAAAGCAGTTTATGGTGGATAGTCACATCCTAGACTGGTATCTTCCCTAACAAAGGTCAGCATTCACCTTAATTGATCCTTTTTTGTCTTTTTGCATCTAGGATAACATACCTTTGAAATGTTAGGGTGACTTCCCTTTTTCCAGACTCCTCATGGCACAACCAATGCACCAGGGCAGAGACCACAAATCCCCTCATTGTTACTATTACGTTGACTGTTAATTGTCCTGTACCCACCTATGTAATAAAACCATGCATCTACCATTTTACTTTTTATCCAATCTCAGAGCCCCCCCCTTTACTTTCTACAGTCTCCCTAATCTATCACCAATGAATTTCATGTAACCCACTTACCTCTCCTTTTTTATTGTAATGTATAAAATAAGGTGCAAAATATTCAAAGTGATAGAGAATTTTTATGAGTTTATTTGAGCCAAACTGATGATTATTGCTGGGAAGCAAATCTCAACAGATTGCTCCATAAAAAAAAAAAAAAAAAAAAGGCTGTTTTGCACCTTATTTTATACATTACAATCAAAAGAAAAGATGTAAGTGGGTTACATGAAATCCACGTGATGGATTAGGGAAGCAGGAGAAAGCAAATGTAGAGAACCTCTGGGATTGAATAAAAAGTAAAATGATAAAACACATACTTCTTTTACATAGGTGGGTACAGGATAGTTAAGAGTCAACAATTAACATGATAACAGTAACAATGAGGAGATTTGTGGTCTCTGCTCTGGTGCAGTGCTGCACCTGTGCTTTGAGGAGTCCAGAAAAAAAGGGAAATTACTTTGTTACTGCAAAGGCATGTTTTTCAAGTATGTTATCCTAGATCCAATAAGAAAACAGACAGGCTTAGTTAAGGTGAAGATTGACCTTTGTTGGGGAGAAATACTGCCTTAGAATATAACTACTCACCATAAACCTCTTTTAGTTAAAAAGTTTTAATTTCAGACCACCCTATGTGGGTTACTTTTGGTCTCTGAGTTTGTAAGGCCGCCACAGAGTCCTCCCCCGAGCTTGTCAGGTTTCTTATTTGGCCCCTTTTCATTAACACATCTAACTTCAGGAGTCATGCTTGTTACACAAGGGCTTTTCGGATTTGCTACACTCAGCCAATCTACAGGAGCAGACATTTCTTTATTCCAACTCTGCAACTATCCCAGAGCTGGCGGCCCCATTTCTCTTTCTCTCTCTCTCTCTCTCTCTCTCTCTCTCTCTCTCTCTCTCTCTCTTTCTCTCTCCCCCCTCTCCCTCTCCCTCCCTCCCTCCCATCCACTCTCTCTAAACATAAATGGAAAAATATCCTTGGGTGAGGATTAATAAAAATAAATAAAATAAAATGCTCACAAAACTCTGGGACCACCAACATGCTGTTTTTTCTACCTAGCCATGCTGCTGGTGATACCTTTGTAATTAACCTAGTTATTAATAACAGGAAAGGAGCAAAGGGAATATAGAGGCATGCCCAGTAAAGTTGGGGAGACTAGTGAAGGTGCTTGCTGTCAATCACACCTGGGAATAGAGGACACTGTGTTATCAGAGAAACTGGGGTATTGTCTTCCACACTAGGTGCTGGCAGTGAGGTCTTTACGATATCTTGAGAAAAAGAATTTTCTAAGACCCTCACAGGAGGATGAGTGATCTTTATTTGTGTGGAATTATATTTCTGAAGTCTCATTTCCCTTAGTGCAATTATAGAAGTAATGTAGCTGAGGTTTCAGTAGAGCCAGAAGCAAAGCCAGTGTCCAGAGTTTCTGTTCCATGTTGCAGCCAGGTCCAGTTCAACATCAGGCTAGTTGCAGTCCATCAGTTCATCATGTGGGGTGGGGTGTCCACTTGACCAGGGACCATATGAATGAATTCCAGGAAGCAGGGGAGAGAGCCCTGCAAGCCAAGTATCAAGCCCAACACGCTAAGAGAGTAAAAGAAACCAAGAGGGAGAAATCCTTTGATTAGGGGATTAAATATCTCAAATGTTGTACCCTTAAGTGGCCACGCCCATTCTGGCCAATGACCTGTTCCCAGGTGTGACTGATAGACAAGTACCGTGCCAACATCACCCCAACTTTACTGGGCATGCATCTATTATTTTCCCTGTGGTATCTCTTCTCCCCATGAACTCTGGGGAATGTACTAATGGTTCTCTGGGGAGTGTAAAGATTTAGCTTCTTGGTAAGCTGCTTAAAAGACATGCCTATAATATTTGGCCATCCCTTTGCTCCTTTCCTTTTATTAATAACTAGGTTAGTGACAATGGTATCAATTGGAGAGAATGGGAATGGCCTCTACAAGTACAGGAAGATTTGGGATATTTAGTCCCCTGAACAAAGAAATTTGCTCTTGGACTTCCAGTCAAGGTGGCGGCGTAGGCAAATATGATACTCACCTCTGCCCACAACCACATCAAAATTACAACTAAACTACAGAATAAGCATCCTTCAGAAACACCTGAAATCAATCTGAATGGAAATCTTACAACTATGAAATTTAAAAAGGGGTCACATCAAAATTAGTAGGAGCGGCGGAGGCATGGTGGGTTGGTCCAACACCCTCATGTGGCAGATAAAAATCAGGAGTGATACCTTGAGGCCACCAGTTCAGGATTCTAGTACCAGAAAGAAAAGACCTCATAAATTCTGGCTGTAAAAAACCAATGGGAATTGAGGCGGAGGGATGCTGAGGCTGCTGAAGCCCCAGGCAGTTCCTTTTAAAGGGCAGCTTGAAAGACATATGGGAAAGAACTGAGTTGTTTGGCACTGGGGGAATGGCTGGAGAGGCAGCTTTCTTCTGGACAGATGTACTGGCAGAGGCCTTTGTTCCTTTGATGAGCCTTTCTCCCATGAGGCTGACAGACCAGCCTCGTATCTGGGACACAAGCAACCTGGCTTACACTGCTTGCTCCACCCTGGTAATTCCCTGAAGCCCTGCCCCATGCAACTTTTGGGCCCACCCAAGCTATTTTCAGTAGCTTTACCATAGGATTGGCCTGTTTTGGTTCCTGCTTCAGATTTTCCTAAATTCTCTCAAACAAGCAGCATCTGGCCACAGTGAGCCCCATACCGCTCACTAAGTGGTCCCAGGGCTGGCAATAAAAGCAGCCAGCCTTGGTTCACAGCTTGGCTTTGCCTGGGAACCTCCAAGACCAGCACAAGAAGCAGCCATCATCAGATCGCTTTACAGCTTATGCCTGGTGGCCCCAGATAGAATACAGGCAGTGGCTGACCTTGCCCCAGAGCCAGCACACTTAGAAGACAGTTTCAGACCACGTCGAAGCACAACCACCCAACCACCTCGACAAGTGACACACTCAAGGAATGGACTTAGTGGTACCAGAGCCCTGCTGAAGTAAGTCTTGCTCTGTGTGGTAGGACCCTGTACCTCTGATCATCAAAGGTAGTCAGAAGTTGGTGATCAGTGGGCATGGCCAGTTCTTGCAGCTGATCATCTTGAGTAAATCTCTCCCATTGATGTGCCAAGAGCAATCAAGACTCGATTACAAAAGAAGGATGTACAGTCCACACTAGGGGTGCACCTCAAGGGCCCAGGTGGGGTGACCAGAGAGGCTGTGCCACTGGACCATCCAGGACACCTACTATATAATAGGACACCCTAAGAAGCTTAGGATATATAGCAACTCTACCTAATACAGAGAAACAAGCACAGGGAAGCAGCCAAAATGAGGAGACAAAGAAACATGTTGCCAATAAAAGAACAGAACAAAACTCCAGAAAAAGAACTAAATGAAATGGATATAAGCAATATAACAGATGCAGAGTTCAAAACACTGGTTATAAGGATGCTCAAAGAACTTAGTGAGAATTTCAAGGGACTTCGTGAGAATGTCAAGGAAGTTAGTGAGGACCTCAAGAGCAAAAAAAGGACCAGTCAGAAATGAAGGCTGCACTAACTGAAATAAAGAATAATTTACAGCCCTGGCTGGTTTGGCTTGGCGTTTGGAGAGTAGGACTGTGGACCAGAGAGTACTGGGTTCAGTTCCCACTAGGAGCACATACAAAAAAAAAAAAAAAGAAAGAAAGAAAGAAAGAAGAATTTACAAGGAATTGTCCGGCCGGTGTGGCTCACTGGTTGAGCATCATCCCACGTACCAAAAAGTTGCCGCTTTGATCCCCAGTCAGAACACATGCCCAGGTTGTGGGCCCGATCCCTAGTGGGA